TGATCAGTCATTGGGAGATGGGCGGGGCTTCCTGTCTGGGCGGGGCAGAAGGGGCCAAGTAGGGGCCTCCAAATCGGGAAGCTCGTTGCATTCATTCCCTCTCTCACATGTGCCCTCATTTGCCAGAGACCAGCTCCAGCTGAGTTCGGAGCTCACGAAAGATGAGAAAAGATGGACCACTGCAATTTCATGACCATAACAGACAATGCGAAAAAGCCATCCCCTTTATTTTTACAGAAGAACTCAGACTTTTCACAGACTTTTCACGTCATGGTTAAGTTGGTGCTTCCACCTCGCAGCCAGGAATTCCTCAGCTGGCAGCACCAGTAACACACTCCTGCTGCATTCCTCATTTTACAACTTATCAGTTAAAGAAGAAAATATATCACAGAGAGAAAAATGTAAAGATCAGAACCAAAAAAAAAAAAAAACTTTGAACATAAATTCCCACTACAACCACGGGTTTAACAACCCCTTAATTAATTTGAAAGCATGTTTTACAATGTTAGTACAAACATCCTTGAGGGTTGTGGGAGCGGCCAAGACGGCATGAAGATGGCTCACCAAGATGCTATTAATGACACCAGTTCCTAAGCTCACATCAGTTACAGAGAACATCTCACAAGGAACAATGCGTCAACAGATTTCAGGGTAGCTGAATGTCCGTGAAACTGCACTGAGTGTCATGGAGGGACATCTACCAGGCCTTGCCACACAGCTGGGAGCTCCTTGCAGCCTTGCCAGCAGGGGAGCCATTCTCTGCGCCTTTGGGTGCCCCAATGACACAAAGGCTGGGAGGCCCTGGCTCCCAGCACTCAGTCATTCATTCACCTAAGGATTTTCTCCTGCAAACTTAAAGCACCAATTATGTGCCTACCAACAGGCAGACCCCCATCTTCCCAAAACACCCACTCCTCTCTTCCCTGGCCGAGGTCTGAGAGCTACCTGGCACACCGGAGAGTCACTGGATTTAGGGCCGGAATGGAGAAGGGCGAGCTTCTCTGTATAGCTCCCAGCCCCCACCTCTCCTCCCTTAACAAAGTGGAGGAGGTGTTAGGCTGGGCAAACTCAGCCACCCACAGCTTCTCCCTCTGAACTTTCTGCTTTGGCTGCTATCTTTAAAGGCTTCTCAGAGGCACTTGCATCGTGGCATTGCAGGTTCAGTCACCTGAGAATGCTGGAACCACGTGTGCACCCGTAGGGATGGGATGCTCCACTTCCGTTCCAGCTCCCTGCCAGTGCACCTGTGAAAGCAGCAGCAGATGGCCCAAGTGCTCAGGCCCTTGCAACCGTATGGGAAACCCAGATGAAGCTCTTGGCTCCTGGCTTCCAACTGGCCCAGTTCTATTCTTAGCAGCCATCTGGGGGGTAAACTAGTGGATGGAAGATCTCAGTCTCACCCTCTCTTTTTGCACTTCTGCCTTTCAAATAAATAGATCTTTGTTAAAAAAAAAAAACTGTCGGAATTTTTAAACGTCTCAGATGAGAAAACAGGCTCAGAAAGGTGGTATGACTGGCCTGGGGTTCCACAGCAAGTTTGAATAGCGCCAGGTGGACACCCAGACAGCCAGATTCCAAAGCAAGGAGCTGCTCTGCAGAACCTCCCGGCCAAGAGCCCCCTGGCTACAGCCCCCGATGCCAAAGACCATGGCACATCATGGGCTGGAGCGCAGGGGCATATCAGGGGTGGCTGGCTGGGGGCGACGAGGGTAGGCTTCATGGAAGAAGTGACAAAGGCCCACTTGTTGGACCTTGTTGGGTAGTGAAGCCAGGGAAAGCCTGCCAGGCAGAGGGATCAGCAGAGCAAAAGGCCAGAGGTGTGGAAGCAGAGGGCAGTTCAGGGAAGGGATGAGGAGGCTGAGACCATGGGCAGGGTCGGGGAGGCCCATGGTGCCTTGCCAGAGGCTCCATGCTCACCTGTGCAGGTGTCTCAAGCAAGGACACAAACAGGAGGGCAGGGCACGGGACATGTGCAGGAGGCGGCACAAAGGGCATTGCAGGAGGGCAGGGCAAGGGGCACATGCAGGAGGGCAGGGCAAGGGGCACATGCAGGAGGGCAGGGCACAGCATATGCGCTAGAGGGGCTTGCTGTTCAAGGACAAGGCAGAGGGGGCCACCCTGGCACCTGCAGCAGCAGCAGCGACCCTCAGACCCTAAGGGACTGCACAAGGACCCGTCTTGTCCTTCCAGTCTCCCCTCTGGCTGCCCAGAACCACTGAGTAGGGAGGAGGCTGATTCTTCTGTTTGTAGAAGAGGAAGCAGGACCTGGTGGGGGAGGAGTACAAGTGCCCCAGACCCCCCAATGCCTAAAAAGCCTGACTTAATTGTGTCCCCTCCTACAGAGCACAGGACGTGGGGTGGCAGACAGTGGATTGATGGCAGCCACGCTCCCATCACGCCTTGCAGCTTCTGAGCTGGGTTGCCCTCAGACAGGCAAGTCAAGGCCACTGGCCCCTGTCATGAGTGTTTGTTTATTCCCAGCAGCCGCCTGCAGAAAAAGCCCCGTTGCTATTCCTGTCTCACAGATGCAGGATCCCAAGCTGGAGAGTTGAGGTCTCACCCACATGGGCAGGGCCGGGCACACAGCACGTGCTTGGCAGTAACTTCTGAATGACCGAGTGAATAACATGCCAGGAATGAATGACCCCTGCTTGCGGTAGAATCCCCCACACCCTCCCGAGACCTTGGCGAGCACTGTCATTGTCACTGCCTCCATCCTGAGCAGTGTGCCCAGTAATTTCCTGTGTTTCTTGGCTACGCTGCGATGCCAAGGAGCGCCCCCTTTTGGCGTGCTGCAGAGTGGCCGGTTCCAGTCTGGATCAAGGTTTCCTTCCCCTGCTCAGGTTGTTAAATCCAAGGGCTCCACACTGAGCACCTGGTCCTCAAGATTTTGGTTATTTTCCTGAAATCCTCACCGGATGAGATTTAAGCCCACGCTCCACGTTGAGTGACATTTGTTGAAGACATGAGGTTTAGGTCAAGGTGGATACTTCTGGCCTATGGCTACTGCTGTGGTTTGAATGTGACTTGGCTCAAACTTACACAAGACTTTGAGCACCCAAGTCCTGAATTAAGAACCCTAAGGGACACTTAATCTGATACAGCATTAAGGGATAGGGGCTGGTGGCAGATCCTTGGGTCATGGGGGTGTGGTCCTAGAGGTTCCTTTTGACAAGGGCTGGCTGTGCAGCCCAACCCTAGGCTGAGTCTCCCCACCTGTAAGCTGTCACAAGACCTACCCCCATGGCTGAGCTTTCTAATGGAGACCTCAAATGCAGAGCTGGGCCCCGGCTCTGCGGACCTCTCCCTGCCTGGCTCTGAAGCCCCTCAAAGTCACGAGAAATACGAAAATAAATAATAATGGCTTCAGGAGCTATAAGATGAAGTGCATGGAATAAATGGGCTCTCCCAGATACGAGAAGTGGCCGAGGCACTCTGTTATAACCTGTGTCTGTGGGAACCAACCCACTCCCACAACATGTAATTCCTGACGAGATGGTATTGGTCTTCAGATGCTCTGTAGACAGGTTTATTCTGACCGGCTACAGTTCTAGAGGCACAAGGTCAACCCAGCATGGAGCTTTGTCAGGCCCCCCACTAGGGGGAGCTGCCTTGCTTCTGGGGGGCAGGTGGGTTTCTCACACCAAGTTTCAATCATGTGGGCGCTTCCCACAGGCTCTACCTCCAAAAACCACAGTCGGGTTGTGTGTCCACCCTCTTAACACCAACAAAGGATTCAACTTCTAAATGAGCTCAGTGGGACAAGCCAGTCAACCCAGAGCGCTATGCAAACTCCCTTTCCTGGATGGCCAAAGTTGCTGAGATGCCAATATCCCCTTCCGAAGTCCTGGCTTCTTCCACATCTCCATGCCAAGTAAGCCTCCTGTTGCTCTAAGTCTTCCACAGTGGTTCTCCTCGAGCAGCCCCTGGTTCCTAAACAGCCTCCACCTGAAGTCCTTCCATGCCCTGGATTTCATAACATTAGGCACCAATGCTTGCCCTCCCCTTCCCAAGGCCCGTCCCAGGGTCTCCGGCACACAGGGGTCTCCTAGCCTCTGCCCATCCCCCCACCTTTGCCCTTTCTCTGCCTCTGCACTGCAGGGTCGCTGTGCCCTAACAACTCAATCCTGCAGGACTACCTTCACCTTCCGACCAGCCCCTCTGCTCTGTCCCGTTTCCTCACTTGAGATGAAGCCCATCCTCCTGAACGCCCAGCCTTCCTCCTCCTCAGCTCCAACCTCTCCCTATCACATCTAACTCCTACTCATGCTTCATGTTCAAAGTCATTTTTTGATAGTGAAAAAAGAGTTTCTTTTTCCCGAGCTCCTTAGGCAAACCCCTTTATGATGTGCACAGCTTGGATCTGAGCCAACAAATGTCCAGGTTTGGATTCTGGCACCAACACTACATAGCCCACGTGGAAAGTCTCAAGCCTCAGCTGGCATCCCTGTGCAAGGAGACACACTCGCTGTATCAGGTCACCATGAGGCTATTGGAGTGAGCGTGTGATGTGTTTAGAACCTGCCTTGGCACACAGGACATGCTTGGTACAATGTGAGCCCGTCTCCTCACCTGCCACCAGGGCACTGCAAGGCTGCCCGAGCCAGACTTCTCCACAACAGACACTAAGTGGTTGTGTGCATGTGTCCCCCAAAGAACTTGATGACAAGGATGATGAGGGCTTGGCCCAGGGTGGCCCCAGGATGCAGCCTCAGGGCTCAGCACGGAGCTATGTTGAGGACTCCCCACCCTCACCTCGCTGTGCCCCAGGAGACTCCTGTAGACCACCAACAAGCTTCTTCAGTTGCAGCACTTCCAGCTGGGTTTGGCCATGGGAGATGCTGGGAGGGGACGAGGCGACCGGGGCCTCTTCCTAGGCGCTCTTACAGGAGACACGAACACAATTATCATCTCCAGATCTGGTGAACGCCTGGGACCAGGCCCCCTCCTCCCGTGCATCCAGGCCTGGGGTGCCTCACCGTCCCTTCGTCCTGCATCTCCAAGTCAATGTTATTGTAGTCAGTGCACCCCTTCCAAGACACTGGCTGACGTGACGGGTCACTTGTCAGGATTTGTTGAACGAGTGAAAATGTGCCTGTTTGGGAACATCTGTGGGTAACACTCCTGGGTCCCAGCCCTGGCTGAGAATGTTAATGATGAGTCTATAGGAAACGAAGTGAGCAAGCTTTGGAAGCTGATGGTATGCCATGGGTGGGGTTCTCGCACACCAGGGTGCTCAGGAATCTTGCAGCCCCAGCCTGTTTAAACCTATTCAGTGGCTCCACCCCTAGGGGTGGGGCATGGATCCTGCCAGCAGAATGAGGAGGCAGGATGGGAGTGGAGGTTTTGCATGGGGACAAGATTCTTGGTAACACTGATGCTTTTAGGCGAGTGCCCACTCCCCCCCTCCCCCTGCCGCCCCCATCACAGACACTGCACGAGAGAAATGCATGCATGCGGCAGGAGGTTCACTGCCTTCACACTTCTCAGCTGCATTAGTCGTGTCTACAGACACGAGGGGCCGGAGCTACACAATACTGGTTTTATTTTACGCTGTTCCCATCCCTGAAACCTACACAGAGGTTGGGCTGAAAAACGAAAGCTAAAATAAAAGGGTGGGGGAAGAGAAAAAAGAAAGCAGTGATAAGGCTGAAGGGGATGCTGGGGCGGTGGGGGGGGGGATGGGAGAAGGGTGTGCCAGGTCCTGTCCTGCCCACATTCCCAGGGAATGATCCAGGGCCTGGCGGAGACAGCAGTAGAGCCAGGCACAGCATCCTGAGCTTGTGGAGCTCCTGAATCCCCCAAGGCTCTACTCATGTGCACTGCATGAATGTGAACCAGGCAAATACACTCTACCAAGCTGGACGTGCCTCTTGTATAGCTTCACTCGGCCAGAACATGCTACTCCCTCCCCACGCACACATGTGCACACACACGTGCACACACACACACACTCACACCTGCAAAAGTAGCACCCCTTATTCCAGGAGGCTTGGGAGCCCACTCCAGAGCGGCAGGGCGTGCGAGTCCCTCCAGCAGCCTGACCAAGGCCACCGCCAAGGCCAGGTGCCAGCCACTCTGAGGACCCAGTCGGGGAGATGCTGCATTCTGGAGCCTGCTGGGGTGAGGAGGGAGATCTGACTGTGGCCAGGGCCGGCAGGGCTGGGTTAGGGAGGTCCAGTGGTCAGTTCTGGCAGGTAGTCCAGGTCCACCTGGCTCCACAGCAGCCAGTCGACCAGGAAGCAGAGGGCCAGGAGGCCGGTGCCGAGCAGGTCCCCCAGCCCCGTGAGGTAGGGGATGCAGTGGTTGTCAGGATCCAGGGCCTGGTGCCACGTCAGCCGGACCATCACCTCAGCCAGGTACAGCAGGATGGTCACCTGTCACAAGAGCCAGCAAACACAAGACGAGACTGAGTCAGAGAGCCAAGGACAGATTCAAAACAAGCCTGTTGAATGTCAAGGGCAAACACAAGGGCAGTGGCTAACTCAGCCCCAGCCAGTCCATTCTGTCCCACTGCTCTTGAGGTGTACTATGACTTGTCACCTACAGTGCCATGTGCTGGAGCTCTGGTCCTAGTGTGGCAGTGATAGGGCAGCTGGGTGGCCATGCCCAAGGGGCAGTTGCCCACTGAAGCCCTGCCCATTTATCTTTAGCCTTGGTCATCACCTGGGCAGAATTCTCTGAGCAAGTCTGCCCCACGAGGTCACCTATGCAGCTCCAGACACAAATGGGGCCCCTGCCCTGGCCCAGAGGTACCTACAGGCTCTGTGCAGCTCTCAGACTCTATGGGCACCATGCTCTTCCAACAAGCAGTCTGCGTTCCCCCAGCTCACTCCCAGCACCTCCTGCAAGCCCCACACCTGCACATGGGCCCCTCACGCTCAGAGCTGCCTGGCAACCCGCTGTGTGTGCAAGAGCTACTTCCCATTTGGCTTCGTAACCCCACTGTCTTCCCTGCTCAGGCCCTTGAGGCTGATGCTGAAGAAGCCACTTAGCACAACACTGAAGCTCCCACCCTGCGACGGCGACGTGGCCTCTCCAACCTGCAGCCTGGGGCACATCTGCAGCAGAGTCTGGTCACCCTCTGATATTACTAGAGGTAACTGATCCATCAGGTGCACAGCTACCATCAGCACGGCATCATGACATGTCCAAAGGAGCACAGCTCTCCACAGATAGATCTCTACTGAAACTGAAAATGACTTCAAAATCACGACTTCAAGGAAAAGTGATGAGACAGAAGAGAATGCATACAGACAACTCAATGAAATCAGGAAGCCATGAGATACTCAACAGAAAGAGACATTAATAAGCAAGACCCAAATAGACTGGAGTTGTGGCTCAGGGAGCTAAGCTGGCTGCTCTGCTTAACACTCAGCTCCCTGTTAATGGGCCAGGGAAGGCAGTAGAAAACAGCCTAAGTGCCTGGACCCCTTCTATCCCTGTGGGGACCAGGATGGAGCTCTGGGCTCCTGGTTTCAGCCTGGACCATCCACAATGGTTGTGGCAAACTGGGGAGTAAACCAGCAGATGAAATATCTCTGTGTCTCTTTGGCTTTCAAATAAATAAATATTTAAAATTTAAAAAAATAAATAAGAGAATTTAGCAGGAGGAGCTAGGCCCTGATGAGATAAAGCAGTTTTTTAGTCCAAATGTAAACCAAGACCAATCCCTTGGGAATGTTAAAGGATTCAACTGAACAAGAGCCTTTGACCTGCGCACTCTAGCATATACACACTGCTAGATCTAAAAGGACAGACTGTGACACTTAGTTGGAGACTTAGCACTCCATTTTCATCAGTGGACAGTTTAGACCAGAAAAAGAAAAATAAAAAGAAATCCGTCAAAAAAACAAGAGTCGAACTACTCTATGGTCAGAAAGGACCCAACAGACTGACTATATAGGACATTTTCTACAACAGCTGCACAGAACACACATATAACCTACCAAACCCAAGCAGACCAACAAGTAATAAAAATCACATCATTAACAAAATATTTCTCAACAAAGAAAAGCTAAGGATGGGAGGCCTTCATTATGGCTGAATTCTACCAAACTCTTAAAGAACTAACCCCAAGTATTTAAAGGGAGGGACTCCTTCCAACCTCATTCTGTGAGGTCAGCATTTACCCTGATAGCAAAACCAGACAAGGACATTTCAAAACAGAGAACTGAAAACCCAAATGAACACAGATGCAAAGATTCCCAATGGGGTATCAGCAAATCAAATCCAACTGCACACAAAAGAATTACACACCAAGAACGTGGAAGGATTACACACCAGGCATGGAAGGAAGGATGTTCCAACATGTGCTAACCAACAAATACAACATATTACAGCAACAGGACAACTTACAAAAGTCATGTGATCAACACGATAGGGGCTATAAATTACAAACCACAGCCTCTATAGTACAAAATGGAAAAAAGCTGAAATCATTTCCTCAAAGATCAAGAACAAGACCAGGATATCCACTTTCACCTTTCTTGTTCAAAATAGTATGGCGAAGCTCAACCAGAGCAGTAAGGCAAGAGAAATAAGTAAAGAGTGTCTAAAATGGAAAGCAGTGGTCCAAGTGATCCTGGTTTGTGGCCAACACTTCTGTAACTAAGGCCTATAACCCAGGACTCCACCAGAAAACACTGTTAAAGCTGATTATTGAAATCTCCAAGTTACAGGGAATAAAGCCAACATACAAAAATTAGTATCTTTTAAAATTCACCAATAATTTCATTAAACAGAAATCAATAATTGAATCCCATTTGCATTAGCTAAATAACATAACATGACATCAATACTGACATAATATAAACGACAAACATGACATAACATAAATACTGAGGCATGAATTGAACAAAGGCAATGAATGGTCTTTGCAATGAAAATTACAAAACACTGTGAAGAGGGTACAAAGGTATAGACAGGTGGTCCATATTCATAGGTTATAAAAATATTATTAAAATGCCTGTATGTATCCAAGTAAATGAAAGTAATTCCTGTCAAGAGACCAACAATACTATTGAGAGCCATAATCAAGTCATCCACACTAGCTGTATGAAACCACAAAAGACCCTGAACAGCCAGAGCAATTTTAAGCCAAAAAGCAAAGCAAGATCTATTATAATACTTGACTTCAAAACACACTGACCCAAACAGCACAGGCCTGGCTGGAAACAGATCCAGAGACCAGTGGGGCAGATTAGAGAGCCCGAAAATAATCTCATGTAGTTATAGTTGAGAGATTTTCAATGCAGGCAGCAAGAACATCCACTGGAGAGAGGAAGACCTTTGAGTTAGATGGTGCTGGGGAGACAGGCTTTCCCTCAGTACAAGACACCAGACCCTTCTTTCTCCCCAAACACAAAAATCAACTCAGAATGGACTCAGTATGAGTCCTCAGACTATGAAAATACTAGAAAAGAGACACAGAGGAAATGCTTCAGGCCACTGAGATGGGCCAAGAATTTTTTTGGACATCATCCCCAAAGCACAGGCGATCAAAGCAGAAGTTGACCAATGCAAGTACATCATACCAAAAGCTCCTGAAGGACACAGAAACCAACCAACCCAGGGAAAGGCCTTCAGAACGGCAGAAAATATTTACAGGCCATGCATCCACTGGGGGTGATATCCAGAATGTATAAGGGAATAAAGAAAATTATTAGCAATAGAGAACCCGAATAAAAAGTAGACAAATCACTTGAACAGATCTCCCTCAAAAACAGAGACATAAATGGTCAGGTATGTGGAAAAACACCCATCACCAGGGAAACCCGAGTCGAAAGCACCATGAGGCACCTCTGCATTCCAGTTAGAACAGCTGTGACTGAGACCAAAACAATACACGCCGGTGGGGAACGGACATCAGCTCAGGCAACATGGAAGGCCACAGGGACATTTCCCCAGAAAAGCAGAAACCTAACTTCTTAGCCATCCAGCTGCCCTGCCCCGGGCGTGGAAGTTAGCCTGGTGGGGACACTTGCATATTCCATCACCAAGATACAGGATCAAGCATCCATCAACAGGAGAGTGATGACGGGAATGAGCATGGCATATTGATGCAAAGGAACATTCTTCAGCCATAAAAGGAAGTGACATTCTGCCATTGGCAGCAACACGGATACAAAGAGAGGACACTGTGTTCAGTCTGGCACAGGAAGACAAAACGTCATGAGTTCTCACTCACGTGGGAGGAAAAAATGACCTTGGAGTATCAGGGGAGTGAACAGTGGTGACTAGGGCCTGGGAAGGGTGCAGGGCAGAAGGGGAGGGGAGAGGGTGGTTCATGCTGGACAGGAAGAATGACTTTTGAAAGCAATTTTGAACATTCCCAGCACAAAGAAATGATGTGTGTTTGAGTTCCCCTGTGTGTCCAAGTTCCCTGATATATCATTACACATTGTATGTGCTCAAGTGTCACAATATATCCTGTAAATATAAGTTACCACGTGCCCATTAAACATCAAAGTATACTTAAAAAACTAAAAAAGAGCCAGCGTGGCCTCTGCCTGCTCTCTTGCGTCCTTGCCTGCCCACAGCAAGTTTCTTCTGAGCTCCTCTGCCGGGCTGGGACAAAGCCAGGAGGCCCTGGCCTTGGCAGGCTGGAGCAGGCTGTGTGGCCATGGCAGCCCCCGCAAGCATGAACTACACAGATCTCCCCTTCACCAGCTGCTCAGCCCGGGAGCTCTGCTTCAGCAACACGAGGCCAGCCACGAGAGGGCCTGAGGCTGGGCTTGGACACACAAAGTGGCCTGAGGCTGACTGTCTTCTGTACTTCCCATGCCCAGGCCTGTCCCTGCCTCCCAAAGGGCCACAGCCCTGCTGCCCTGCACCAGCCCCAAGCCCCTCAGTGACACCAGTCACACTCCCTGGACTCTGTGGCGACCTGCAGTTGTGCTTGCATGAGCCCCTCTCCCTTGGAGCTCCAGGCGCCCAGCCCTTGCCAAGGTGGCCATGGGGCTGTCCACACGGTCATGGCCAGGTCTCATGGCTCCTGGGACCCTTGTCCAGGCTGATCCTTCCTCCCCCTAACTGGAGCTCGAAGCTCCTGTTGCTTGGGATGCTTCTCCAGAGGTCTCCAGGCCCCATGGGGTCCAGGGTCCAGAAATGCTGCATTTCCAAGTGCTACCAACTCAGGAGCTCAGCAGCCACTTGTTCCTGGTAGCAGCAATTCCACAGACTATCCAGGTGAGCCTGTGGTGTTTTCCCTGCAAAAGCCACAGGCCCATCAGGGACACTGGCCGTGGTAGTCTCAGCTGACAGAATGTGGACACCTGCGCAAGCCCCTCCTGCCAGGCCTTACTGACACCCAGCCCCAACCCAAGTCCCGGGGCCCTTGTGCGACACCCCCCAGCAGGGACCCGCTCTCTGGCCAACCACCAGCTGTGTGGTGGGGGCCACTGGACCCACCTCTCTGACTACTCAGTGATAACCGCACCACGTGTGTGAGTGTGTGTGTGTGTGTGTGTACATGGTGCGCAGGGTGCAGTGTACAACACGCAGCATGCAGTGTGCAGCATGCTGTGGCCTCTGCTGACTGAACTCCTGTAAGATCGGCAGGTCAGGGTGGGGGTGGGAGGCTCTGCCTGCCTGTCTGGGAACCCCCAGCCCAGCCTGCTCCACCCTCTGCAGAATCTCAACCGGGAACAGACACAGCTTGGTGCTACATCCTCCTCACCTGGATCAGGCCTGCGAGCAGGTACAGTACCACGAAGCTCTTGCTGTCTGTCACCGACTGACCTTCCACCATGCAGATGATGTAGAAGAAAATCAGGTGGCCCGGGACCACGAGGGAGAGCAGGACTCGGGCTGATATGGAGTTGATCTCTGCAACAAACAGAACCAAGAAGTCTGCAGAACCGCCGTGGCAACAGAGGCCATGGGGCATGGGGCAGTCTCCAGTAAGGCACCCCCTTGTACTCATTCTACAGGTGTCTCCTACACACCTCCCAGGGGGTAGGCAGATTCTAGCAGCAAAGGACAGCCCTTCCCCTATCCCTTCCCCATTCAAGGAACTGAAATCTCAGAGTAGACAAATGGGAATAGAGTCAGCAGAGACAAGAGGCACCCCCTTCACACTGTGTGCTGTGAACAAGCCAGGTTCAAGTGGTAGGGACACCTTGAGTGTCTGAGGGGGCAGACGGTCCTGAGGTTGGGGACCCCTCCAGGATATGCCACTGACGTGGAGGGCTGGACAGACTTCAGCACGCTCCGTGTTCCACACATTCCAGGAGTGTGACATAACACCAGCACGCCGTCTTAGCCAAAATGCCCAGCTTCTATGGAAAACCACTCCTTATAGTGGAAGGAAGATTGGATGACAAGCTCTAACCCCAGACAGTCAAGTGAGATGACACAGATGCCAGAGTTAACTACAAGCACTTCTTGTGAGGAAGGCCGACCTGCCCCAAACAAGCCACGGCCTAGAAACTCTCAGGAAAGAAACAGAAGACACAAAAAAACAAATGCAAACTTTAGAAATCAAAAACACACAGGCATGCCACCAAAAACTCAGTGATAGGTCCAACCACAGAATGAATGAACTTGAGAAAAAAATACAGAAACTGGCCCACCTAAGCAAAAGAGGGGGAAAACCCCCAAACAGTCAAGATGCTATTTAGAGCCTCTGGGACTGGCGGGACCTCATGTGACAAGAGCCCCCACATTCGTGTCATCAGGTATCTGTGCAGAGTGGGGTTGAAAAAGTATTCAAACAATGGTTTAAGTGCCTCCAGCTTGACAAAAGCTATAAAGATTTGTATTCTAGGTTCTCAGAAAACCCCAAATAGGCTAAATCATGCACAATGCAATTTAAAAAAAAATCCAAAGAAAATCTCTTGAAGAGAAATGTCCCCATATTTATACAACGAGGACAAATCAAGCGACAGTAGATCTGTGTCCACTGACAGTCTCTATCACAGGGGTTGGAAAGAAGTGGCACATGTTCCCAGTGTTAAAAAGAGCTATCAACTTCAACATTTATTTCTTTGAGAGAAGAATCTGAGATGGGAAAAGACAAAAGGAAAGCTCCAATCTGCTGGTTCGCTCCCTAATGGTCCACAATGGCCAGGGCTCAGCCAAGGCCAAACTCAGGAGCCAGAAACTCAATCCAGGCCACCCACATGTGCAGCAAGGCGTTCCACCAGTCGAGCCGTCACGGCTGCCTCCGGGGTCTGCACTCAGGAAGCTGCGCTCAGGAACACAGCTGAGAATCGAGTCCACTCACTCTGATTTGAGACAGGGCTCTCCAACAGTGCCTCGGCCGCTGCACCAAACGCCCACTCCATCACTCTGAGCCTCACCACAGGTGACGACAGTCTCCAGTAACGTGCCCGCAGGCACACCCTCAATGACAGCTAAAGGCATTTCTTGGAGCAGAAGGGAGACGACCCGAGAAGTAAAATGGTAAAAAGCCCCAATTTGGAAAAACAGCAGAAAGGGTGAAAACACCTCAAAGGCTCTGGGACTCTCAGAACAGACCTTTCCCTTCCTCCAGCCTCCAGGCCCTGTCTGCCTGCGTCCTCACCTGCTTGGCCTCTGTCCTCCGTCCCCTCCCACTCGTTGTAACTGGGTCTTACTGGTCCCTCAGGTCTTCACAGCTGTCAGATGCCTTCCAACCTCCAGCTCTTGGCCCACGTGCTTCCCTCCTGGAGCTCCGTTCCTCCCAGCCCTGTTTATCCGGGGGAGGAGTGTCCAGGCCCAGGCCTTCCTAACCGCTGTGTTTCCCACCGCTCCCCAGGCTCATGCAGCTTTGGAACATGCCACAGTGTGTGTCTGTGTGTTCACTGGTTTCCTGTACTGGCAGCTCAGCGCCTGCTCCCTGGCACACCTGCAATGTGGCATGGGCAGATCCTTGGGAGGACGGGGAGCTGGGGCCTGACAGGCCACGTGGGTTGTGGTCAGGACTGCTATAGGCGGCCACACACCAGGAGCACGGGCTTCCTGCACTGTGCACACTGGACCCACCTGAGGTGCAGAAAGTTGAGCATGGATTGGGACAGAATTTTTTCATGCCCAGCGGCAGGACCCCAGGCGTGCTCCGAATGTGCAGGTAGGTGGAGATTCGGCTGGTCTGAATGGCCACCAGGTTGCCGCCAACACCTGCAAAAACACAAAATGAATCCCATTTCCCCTTCCCTCCCATTGGTTTCTGATTTCTACCCCTGACTGTTAGGTTTACTTCCTCTAGGAAGGCTTCCTTGATTTACATCTTAATATCTAACTCCTGCTTGATCACAGATCTTGTTTGGAACCAAAGCATGGGTGGCCCATCCTGGGTAAATGGGGTTCTGAGGTAGGAACTGTGTCACCTTGACAGCTGTATATCTTAAGATGAGCAAAAACAGCCTGTCAGTGACAGCTGTTAGCTGGAGGGGCAGGAACGGACAGGTGTAAAAAGAGCCTGACTGGCCGGCCTGAGAGTGAGGCCTCGAGGCCAGAGGACTCAACTACAGACGGGAATTCTGGACAAAACCAATGAGCTCGGCCCTCTGGGACCAGGGCAGGAGGGCTGGGTCATGAGTGGACGAGCTGGCCGGGCTGCCCTGGATGAGGCCGAGGGCAGTCTGCACACCAAGGACGGCTGCAGTTCTACTGTGCTCGGCCTGCATGAGCTTACAGAAGAGAGGAGGAAAGGAAACACCTTGAGCTAAAGGTCTGGCTAACTGGACTGAATCCACACCCCTAGCGTCACCCAGCGAGGCAGCCTGGCCCATCTCTCCCACCAGGCAACCTGGGCTGGGGCTGCCCAGGCAGGTTCCACCCTTCCAGACAAGGACAGCGAGCTACACTGCGCCCTACTCCCCACCGCTCCCTACTGCTCAGTAGTCATCTTGCCGTAGTCAAAATGCTTGATGGGCCCCTGAACGCATCTGTGTTGCCTACTGTTGCTTCTCCCCTCCCCACAATGTTACCCTACTGTCAGGGTACACACCTGCCAGGAGCCCTGCTGATGGGTAAGGGTCATGCCAAGGCCCCAGCCAAGCAAAGAGGCAGTGACTTGACCATGCTGTGTTCCTCCCAAATTCCACACCCAGAGCCTCAGAGGACACCAGACATCAAACCCAATGAGTGGTCTTCAACACAGATGACCCCTACCCCAGAGCCTGGGCCTGGCAGGCAGCTGAGGGAATCAGGTGTAAGGCAGCAGGGAATGGCATGGATTGAGGCAAACTGCCATGCCCAGACTATCAACCCAGTAACACCAAGCCTTCATCCTCTAGACTACAGAAATCCACATGCTGATGTGCAAATATCTGAGTTTTTAAAACCAAAATACAAGAGCCAGTTCTGAAGGCCACACTTGGTCTGCAAAAGCCAGTGAGGCCCGGTGCAGTCCTGTGAGCCTCAGGGTTCATGGGTGCTCAGATGTACTTGTGCCAGGAGGGTGCACACCGACCCTATGGTGTGACCTGCAGAGTGGGATGTGAGCTGCACGGGCAGACAGAGCTCCTCCCTGGGCCTCCCCAGCCTGGAAGTCCACCTGGTGCCCACGTTCCCCCATGAGGTGTGCACAGAGTGGGGTGTGAGCTGCACGGAAGTCTACCCAGCTGCCCGGTTGTCGCTCAGGTCCCCTGTTCAGGCCCCACCCGGGGATGGCAGGGACTGCACCCCAGCACTTACCACAGATGATGGGTGTGAAGATGGCCATGCCCTTGTACTGCGGCTTAGACACGGTGTTGCTCAGGATGAGGCCCCCGACACTAGGGAAAGAGCAGAGGGCGGGCAGGCAGCTGATGAGACCTGACCCTGGGCACAGTCCTGCCTGGCTTCCGGTGCCGTATGTGCCTTGTCACTTACTACAGAGACTACAGGCACCCCCTGGCTTTGGCTGCAGTCCGCCAATGCTATCTCCACCCCCACAATACTCCCCTAACACCTCAACACCCTGGGGAATGACACGGATGTGGGTAAGGAGTTCAGGAACCTTCCAAATGCCCAAGACCCTCAAAAGCAAATCTATTCTGCCCGGGGCTCTGAGTTGGGGAAGGCCCAACACCATTACGCACACAGGGACGGGTTCAGCAAAGTCTCATGGGAGTGGGGCCTGAGTTCAGCTGGGGGCTCTAAATGTCCCACCCACAGCCATGCGGAAAATGGTGAGGGAACAGAGCTGAGGCCTGGGGACCATGGTGAGGGACCTGCATCCAGTCAAGGGTCTGGGCCAGCATGGATGGCGAAAGTTGTCATCCCCCTAGGAAATATGACTGAGCACAATACAAGGCTCTGGGATGCTGCTCTGATCTTTCCAGCTCGGACTCTGCATGGTCCCCCGGGCTCTGAGCTCTGGCCGCTGCCACAGGGCAGCATCTCTGAGAACAACAGGCTAGGGGCTTTGGCTAAACGGAAGTATAGAGGGACTGATGTGGCAGTGCAGAGAGTTAAGCCTTTGCCTGAGATGCTGGCATCCCATGAGTGTTGAGCTTCAAATCCAGCTAACTGTGCCCAGCAAAGCAGCAGAAGGTGGCACAGGTGCTTGGGCCTGCTCGTTCCCATGTGCTTGAGACCCAGATGGAGCTTCAGTTCAGTCTGCTGTTATAACCATTTGTGGGGTGAACCTGCAGCAGAAGCTCTTTCAAGTACATAAATCAATCCTGTGAAAATAAGAGCTAAAGCAGCCACGCCTCCGCCAGCTCTCGGGGGTCAGCTGCAGTCCGCAGCAGGACAGTGAGAAGCTCCATGGCTCCTGGACCCGGTGCTCCCGCTCACACGCACCTGCTGATGACCATGGCCAGGATGATCGGGAACCAGCCGAATTTCAGGATTTCTAAGATGGGTGGGCTCTGCTTGGCAATAAGAACCCACAACGGGATCAGGGCCATGAAGCCGACGCACACCAGTGGTATCAGGTACCGACTGTCTACGAGAGAGGGGCACATACAGCTCAGGTGGCCAGGGATGGTCGGGGCCAGGACTGGTGAGAATGGGGGCAGGGTAGGGGTGGAGGAGACTGGGTTCCCATGTCAGATGTGGGCTAAGATGCTTCTGTTCTCAGCAGTGTAGGGAGGACTGGCTGGCTACATATGCAGACTGGAGCTGCTCCATGTCCCTGGGGAGCTGGACTTGCCAGGTGACCTCAGCTCCCTTTGTCACAGAAATGCCTTCAGCCAACACCCCAGGCTGTCTTTTGAAAACTGGGAGCCCCAAGTTCCCCTCAGCCTTGCTGGGTGGTCTATCCCAGGGCCCCTCCTCACCTCTGTTTTTGTAGAAGAAGCTGCTAACCAAGGCCAGGATGGACAGTGTGATGAGGTCTCCCAGGCTGGCTGCGATGGGGGTGGCGATGTTGTCTGGGTTGACCCCGAACTTTCGAGCACCAATTACGATGCAAACCATGAGCAGTCCTGGGGAGAGAAGGGGTCAGGTGGGGATCAGGCCCCAGGGAGCCAGCCGCCACCACGAAGGTGCACAGGCAGTGGGGTATAGGACCAGCCAGGTGGCCCGGAGCTCTTCATCAGCAGGTTCCTGCCCATACAAGCCTGCACGTTGAGCCAGGCCAACCAGGTCCCTGAGTTTCCCCTGTGGATGTGAGGACTGTGGGGTCTGGGTTGGCAGGGAGGTGCAGTCCACTTGGTAAATGGGGCACATGAAGGGTATCGAGAGGTAGCCCAACAGCAACAACATCTTGAGCAGGGCAGGAGACCCCTGGGGGCCCACCTCACCCAGAACCACAGATGTGGCATTCAAGGCCTCACACTGCATGGACAATTGCCCCATGGATGCCTTGGGTGGTGGCAACTCCTGGGGGCTGAGTGTGTGACTTCCTGACCTTGTCAGGGTTCTCTGGGCAATGGGTACCAAGAAGGACCCAGCCATGTGAGAGATGTGTCAGGGTCAGAACCCAGATGGAAGCTGGGGAAAGCCGAGAGGACAGGTGGGGCTGGGGCAGCCAGGGGGCAGGAAGGGATGAGCAACAGACCCATGCAGCACTGTGATGCCACGTGGCCTCAGCCAGGCTGACCCAGGCACCCACAGGCACTTCACACCTTGGCAGCCTGGCTGGCAGGGCTGGCACTGGGGAGCAGTACCTGGCCTTGGGGTGCAGACAGAAGTGGGTCTTAGGCTCCCAGGAGACCCAAGGGGTGTGTCTCCACGGCTGCCAGGCCTCCTCTCCACTCTGACAATGTGTGGGAAATGGGACATTACTGCCAATGCCCCATTGCCCCAGGATCCTGGAACTCTAGCCAACCAGCCTCAGTTCAGCACCACCTGCCGGGCTGAGCCATCTCTGGTGACAAGGCCGCAGGACCCCCACCTCCCTTGTGAGCACCAACTCTACAAGAATTCAGGTTTGTACAGTTGGGCTGGGGGACAATCCTGCACCAAGCACGCATTTGGGAACACTTGTGGACACCTGAGTGTCACAAGTGAGCCACGCATGTTTCAGAATGTCTGGAATAACGCAGATGAAGTTCACGCTACTGATCTTCACCTTGCCTTGGAGCCTCCGTGTCCCCATTTGGGGAGATAGCGGTGATATTCTTGGAGAGACCTGACAAAGATCAGCCCTGTGGTCCCCTAGGTAGCAATGCAGCCCCCTCCTGTAGGTTAAGCCTTGGGTCCCAGCCTTTGACCAGACCCAGACCTGCCATCTGTGTGCACACAGGGGCCATGACCTAGAGCAGACCTCAGCATATAGTCTGACCAGAGAAACGCAGCCTGACACCTTGCACTCCTCTTCTGGGCCCCCGACCTGCCCTGTGGAGCACAGGGTAGCTGCTGTGAGCTGTGTGCTGAATGCACCAGTGGACATGCCTAGTGGCCAGGGGAAACCCACTCACGCAGAAACCAGCATCTAAAGCCAATGAACCCAGAACCTCCGTGCTCAAAGATGCCACTGGACCGGCCCAGAGTGGATGTTAGGAACCACTGCATCACGCGTGCATGGAGTGGAACTTGGGGAGGCCAAGGACTGCCTACCACTCTTTCTACCTATGCAGACACCAAGGCACGAGCCCACGGCCAGTCAGGCCGCAGAAGCAGCAGGTGGAGGAGTGTGGGTGTTGCCCTCCTGCTTGGGAAGAGCTGACCTTGGACTGGGGAGGTGAGACGGAAACACCAAGAAGTGTGGGTGCAGGGAGGGGGAACAGCACCGTTGTGGGTGCTGAGTTAGGGGCTCAGAGGGAGTGTGGGTGTGCGATGAGGGAGAGCAGGACAGTCTAATGGGCCCCAGGGAGTGTCCCCTTCCAATTCCCTGTATGGAGGCACACAAGGAAACAGCAACGGGATACAGGCCACTGATCACGGTCACTCCCCTGCCAGACCAGAGGGCATGAGGTCTGTGGCACCCTATGTCATTACTGCCTGTCAGATCTCTCCGAAGAAGGGAATGGAAGCTTCCATCCAGGCTTGCCCTCAGGCTGCAGGCTCCAGAGCCTGGCATGGGCCTGTATAAAGGCCTGTACATGGTACCCAGGTTACCCAGGGAAAGCCTGGCAGGCTGCCTGTTGTTTGCAGGGTCAAGGCTAGGGAGGCAACAGTTCCATGGGCACACACCCTGACTAGGAGCCCACATGAAGGCCCTGTAGCAGGAAGCCTGGATCTGTCACAAATCCAGGAACCAGAGACAAACACGCCACTCAGGGGCCTGAGGTTGCGGGGGAGGCCACAGCTCACCAAGGGCCAGGGCCGCAATGAAGGCAGTGACGACGCTGCTGGCACACAGCAGCTCCACAGGTGCCAGGTCCAACTCCTTCCGGGACACAGCACCCAGCAGCAGGGCAGCCACGGCAGCTAGGAGCCCCACGACAGTGGCCTGCACCTGTCGAGCAGAAGTCAGCAACATGAGAGAAGGACCCCTTGGCCAGGGCTGCCCCTGTCCTTTCCCAGGAAACCTGGGTCCTTGTCCTCTCTACCCCTGGAAACATGCCTTTGGCTGTAACTGGACCATGTGCCTTTCAATCCAGTGCCTCTCTCAGAGACGTTTGCATATGTGTACCAGCTGGCTCTTGCACTCAAAGTCATTGTAAAGAGCAAGGCAAAGGCTACAGAACTTTTTATGCTTAGAAAAACGAAGGAGCAGGCGTTTAGCCTATTGGGTAAGACACCTGTGTCCCACATTGGATGACCTAGTTTCTATTTCTGGTTCCAACTCTGGACTCCAGCTTCCTGCTAATGCAGATTCTGAGAGGTGGGGTGAGTAAGTGGGTTCCTGGCACCCATGTGGGGGACCCAGCTTTCACTGTCAGCTCCCAACTTTAGCTCTGGCCAGGCTCCAGCCCGTCTCTAGTCCCTGTGGGAATCTGGAGAGTAAACTCGCAGAGATGCTCTGACTGAAACCTAAAAATATTTTTTAAAATCCCCCGAAAATCATATACAGATATGATACTTTGAAGTCCGGTGCTTCAATAACTTCATGGAAAGTGTAATTTAAAGGTAAGTTGTATTTTGGTGCAAAAGAACTGAGAAGCCACATTTTAAAATATTATCTATGCCACAAACAACACACACAGAGGTGCATAAACACAGAGAGCCAGGAATCTTCCATTCACTTGTTCATTCTCCAAATCTCTACCACCAGGGCTGGGCCAGGCCAAAGGCAAGGGGGCTCAAGCAGGTGTGCCAGCAGCGAGCTGGGTCAGGAATAAAGGCAGGGACTCCAGCCTGCTCTGCCATACAGATGCCACGCTTGTCTAACTCACTGCACCACAAAGCCAGCCAACAAGTCCTCCTGAACAAGCCAGTTTCTGAAAGGGTTCGCCAGGCAAAAAGGGAGTCGGAGCTGGGGCCCTCAGGTTCCAGCAGAGGCCTTTCCTTTGGGCATGCTTGACAGGTGTGGGGCATATAGGAGCCCACCCACCCTCAAAGCTCCCTCCCTCAAGCTTCACCTCCCTCAAAGCTTAGGGGTGCAGGGACAGGCTAGAGCAGCCTTCAAGCGCTGCCCCCGGCCTGCCCCCATACACTGGGATGAGCCTCACCTGCACGAGGGCCAGGTTGCTGCTGATGAGTCTGTGTTTCTCCTGGGGGTTGTCAATCTGCCCTGTGTTAGCCTAGGAGGGACAGCAAAGGACAATCAGGGCTCTGGTGGGGGCGCAAAGCTGGCGCCACTTCTTCCAGGGCAGGCAGCCTCTTGTGAGAGAGAGACAGACAGACACACATACACACACTCCCCAGTTCAGCTTCTCAGCTGGAGCTCCCTTCTCTAGTGGGGAGGGGAGACAGCAGAGGGGACTCTTGAACCACGACCCCCCCACACACACACATGGGAATTTGCAAACACAGCAGAACCCAGGCTGCCAGGAAGTTCAAGGTCATCTCAGACTCTCAAGCCCGGGAGGCCCTGATCACTACTTTTCTTGATCACTACTTTTCTTTCCACCACAAGAGGAGTTCTGATCTCTTGGCTTCCTGTGCCTGGCGTCCAGGCATGCGTAGCCGTGGTATGCCTCTGAGTGCTCTTACTGGAGTGCAGGTACAGCTACCCTACCGCAGGTGTGGGGTGGGAACAACATGGGGCAACCAGGGGCAGAAGGTGGTGGCGGGGGAGCTGAGCCCGTGACCAGCAGGCGAAGAGAGTGTGCAGAGCCTTGCAGTGGGGGTGTGGGGAGCCCCACGAGCCTACGGTTCCGCTTCTCATTTTCTGCTCATCCACCTGCTTGAGCCTTGCCCATGCTTTCATCACATTCCAGCTTCCTGCCAACACACACCCAGGGAGCCAGCGCGGTGGCTCACATCTTTAGGCCTTGCCACCTATGTGGGACCTTGCATTGAGTTCCCAGCTCGTGGCTCTGGTGTGACACAGCCTTGGCTGGCTGTAGTGGCATGAGGGGGGAGAGGGAGATGGAGTGAGGTGGTGACTAAGTATATGGGAGACCGGTCTGTCTCCCCATGCCTTTCAAATAAACAAAAATTCCCCAAATATCCTTTTAAAAAAAGTGCAGGCATTAAATGAAAGCTCTGAATCCTCCACGGTCCAGAATACTACCAAATCACACGCACATGCATGTGCATGAACACGAATGCATGGGGCTGGATCGTGTAGAGCCTCAGTGTCCTACGAAGCTTATACATGACCCAGCTCCATGTGTTAACGTCTTCTCTTGCTGTGGAGACAAATGTAGTGGCCTAAAGAAACAGAAATCTGCCCTCTCACAGCTCTGCTAAGAACCCATGAGGACCACAGGAGGTGAGAGTCCAGCTCCCTGTGGAGGCCCAGGGGAGGACCTGTCTCCTGGCCCTTGTCCAGCCTGCCCTGCACTCCAAGGCCAGGAGCAGAGCACGTGCCCTCCCAGGCTCTGCTTCTGCCACCTGCCCCGTGTTCCGGCATCGCCCCCCCCCCCCAATTTGCAAGGCTCCTATGGATGTTCCAAGGGACATAGCCACAGCCAATGGACACTGGGTCATCACATTTGCAAAGCCCCCTTTCTCCCTGTGAGGCCACAGGCACAGGTCCCAGGGATTGGGGTCCGTGCTTGTGTGGAGGCCTCTGCAGCTCCCTGCAGTCACCCCTCTCCAGCACCACGGCCAAGTGCTTCCCCCTCCTCAGCTGTGGCGTGTACCCAGCAGGCAGGAGAGCAGGAGGAGAAGGCGCTGGGAAAGGGTGTATAGAGTGAGTGACCCTGGGAACTGTGCTGGTCCAAGCCCAGAGTGGGGCAGCCCGGGGACAGGACAGCCAGGAACAGCCTGGGAAAGATTCAGACTCAGCCCAACTCCTCCATGAAACCTCCCTCAGGCCCATGCTGCTCACCAAGGCTGCTGTGTGACTGTGTGCTAGGGCTGGGCCAGGTCCGTGCACAGACTCGGGGCAACACGGGGCATGCACTGTCAGCCAATGGCCCCGAGAGAGCAGAAGCTAGGGGCACCTGGCAGTGGGCATGGTCCCCAGCAGAGAGGGGACCAGTGACAGCACCCCCAGGCAGGGGTTAACAACCTCAACTTATCCCAAGAGCCCAGCCCACCCAGTGCAACCACAGTGGGCAGACCAGTGGTCGCAGCAATACAGCATCCCTGAGGGTGGCCAGGGTCAACTTACAGCCGTGGAGAGTCGCGAGGCCAGTGTCATCTCAAGGTTCCCCTTCAGGCCCACGAGGGGCGGAACCAGCGTCAGCAGGTCTTTCACCTCCTGAAACACGGGCCAGTGCTGGGAGAGAAGGAAGGAGAGACAGAGCCGGGTGTTCCTATTGGCCTCTCTGGAAGTGTCCGAGGACCCTCAGCCAGTTCCTTCTCATGCTTGAGATGCAGGCGGGGCAGGGTGGTCCCTGCCATGGCTCTAAATGGGACATGATGAGTCAGCGTCCATGGCCTCAGGCAGGTCCCCAATGCTTCTGGCCCTAGGGAGCAGGGAAATTCGGAGGGGGGCCTTATCAAGGCACACTGCCCACCCGCTGACCAGGCCTGCCACCTTGCTGCAGACACCACAGTGTGTCTGTGTGACATGGAGGTGCTGCAGGGATGCAAATGAGTTACTGGTTTCCAAGTTGAGCAGGGCAAGGGTGGGCGAAGCCCCTGAACTGTGGGACGTGGTGACCCCTGGCAGGTCCAGATGGGGCTGCAGAGTGGCACTGACTGCCACTGTCATGACCTGCAACCCTCTGTTGCTGAGCAGTGTGGCTGAAAATTAGGGTCAGAGGAATCTGCCAGAAAGGGGTACTTGGTCTTCAATGAAAATAAAGCCACCCAATGAAAAGAGCGCATGTTTAAGACAACAACAACAGCAACTCTACAATTACACTGCAGTTCACATCAGCTTTTGAAATTCCCCATCAGATCTGGCTCTTTGCTTTTCTCTGCCAGGGTTAGCAGCACTCCTAGCTGCTGAAGCCCCAACGTGCACCCGTCCACATGGGGACGATGGAGAGCCAACTACACCTGACCAAGCAGTGGCAAGAGGGTCAGGCTAGATGTCCTGCTCTTTTGTGATCCTGCCAAAGCAAGATGATCCACTGGGCCTTCAGCTTCTCCCCTGACCTCCTCTGTGGAGCAAGCGGACAGCCTTCCAGCCCTGCCTGCTCCTGGAACGTGAAACACCAGCAGGTGAGAAGGTGTGGCCCTTTTTGGTGCCCCAGCCACCCCCACACTGTTCTCTCTGTCCCACCCTCCTCTGTCCCATACTCCCGACACACAGGGCACAGTGGCCATCGTACATGCACTCCCACGGTGGGCCCTGGGCTGGCTCACACACATCCCGGCCCTCTCCCTGACCACATACGAAATTTCAAGTCAGAATAAACTGCTCTGAACCTCCTCCGCACTGGGGCCCTCAACCCCCAGCCCAAGTCCAGGTCCCCAAGCCAGATGGTCCTTGCCCCTCAACTCCTGCCCCGAGCCCTCCATGCCCTGGTCCTTCCAGTCCTACACCAGCCTCTCCAATGGCTCATGTCAACCTTTTAGAAAACATTATCTATATGTATGTAGTTGAGAAAGAAAAAACAAGGAGTTCCAATACTCCAGTTCACTCCCCAAAGGCCCACAACTACCAGAGCTAGCTGGGACCAAAGCCACGGGCCCGGGGGACTCAATCCAGGACTCTCATAGAGTGACAGAGACCCAAGTATTCCATACACCACTTGCTGCCTCCCCAGGCGTGTGCATGAGCGGAAAGCTGGAATGGGGAGCAGAGCTGGGACCACTACCCAGACATTCCGATCTGGGATGCGGGGGTCCTGAGCTGCGCCCCAGTCACTGCAGGCCTTGGAGTGCTGACCACCACCTTCACCCTGACACTCCATCTTCCGTTCTCTTTTATTCCCGCATATGGGCCTCCGGGCTGGAGCTATCTTCCTCCTGCACACCCAGGGTTACCTCCCCAAGAGGCGCCCCACCTTCTCCATGCAGCCCTGTCTGTCAACGAGAGGCCTCAACAGTGTGCTGGGGAGGGGACTATGACACCCTGAGGTCCCTTCTCCGTGTAGGTGGTTGCATGCCTCAGTGTAAGCGGTAACATGGCTCTGCCCAGTAATATGGCAGAGGTCGGACCTGTCCCATCAGGCATCATGCAGCCATGGAGGAACCATCCTGGGGTGCGTTGACAACAGGGACCAGCTGAGCCCCTTCCCCAAAAACTGCACACACTTAGAGATGGGCTCATCAAAGAGAGGAGCAAGTCAAAGTGGTGTCCACCAGGACTGGTGACCCCAGAAGAAGTAGGGAGTGGGACACACATGCACACGGAGGAAATGTGGGAGAGCATGGGTGGGCGAGACCCCCAACTCTAAGCCCAAGGAGCCACATCTGGCCACATGTCCATCTCTGTGCCTGGGGAAGACTCAATTCCATAACGCAGTTGGGGCCACTTGGTCACACAGTTATGAGCATGGGGAAAATGTGGGGTGCTGAGAACCCCGGGGACTGACCAGGACAGAGCTGTTCAGCCTCAGGACTCCCCCTGGGAGGACTGACCTGCCCTTGTTTAGGTGAACTTCTCTGTCCCTTGCAGCCAAAGCCAAGACCCCCACGATGGCTCCAGTGTTACCACTGCTATCTCAGAGCCTCCCCAGGTCCCCTCCCTCTGGCCTCACCCCACTCACTGTACTGGACTGTCCACCCTACCTTACCCTCTTTTGTCTCCTGAATTCACCTGATATTGAGGTCGCCATAACCCTGAGATCCTGCGTGTGCCCCTGCAGCAGCACCATGGTCGTGGGGGCTGGCCCCCAAGTGGGACTGAGCCCTTGCAGCAACCACAGATCTTTCACTCAGGGGTGCTGGATGAGGCTGTGACCTCCAGGCTCTTCCATGTCCAAAGTGGAGCGATGCCAAGGCAGTTACGGAGAAGGGACAGCCTCCAGGCCTTTCGCCTTATGCTTCCCAGTTCTTCCAAAACAACATGATGACTCAACCACACAAGCGGACGTGGACAGAGCAGGCATGCCTCATGGATTCAGCCACACCACCAGAGCCAAGCCCAGGGTGCACGCATTCCACAAGGAGTAGCCGCCGTCACAGACGCTGGCTCCCCGGGGCACTGGACAGGGTTCTGTATCATGTCCTCCTTCCAGCAGCCACATAGGGTCTCAGGAGGGACCTGTCCATCTCCCCAGGGACCACAACCCTCACCATAGACCCCCCAGCTGGGAGTAGCAGTCCCTGCCCAACGAGCCCACAGCATTGGGAGGGAAGTAGATGGAGCACCCTTGGGAAGATGGTGCTCCTGCAGCTACCCTTTGGGGAGCACTGTCAGAATTTCGGTTCTTCTGTGACACTCAGGGTCCTAGACTCTGGCAGGACCCTTCTCCTAGCCCCTACAGACACCCAGGACTCCCGAGCAGCCAGGCTGGGTTTGGCTGCTGCCCCATCTGGAGAGCTGGGTAACCCTAGTTCCTGCCCCAGTCGCCTGTACAAACCTGCACGTTGTTCATCACCAGGCCGGCCATCATCATGCCCAGGGCAGACAGCAGGATGGGCACCAGGACCTGACACGTCATGGTGAAGAAAGTCTCAGGGAGGACCCCGTGGGGACAGCGGATGACCTCACAGCTGAAGCCTCGCAGCTTCTTGTTCTGGAAGCGGAACTTGAGATTCAGCTGGGTAACCACCATGGTGGTGCTGGCAGTCACATTCCCAGGGCAGGACGCCAAGCCGAGGCCTGTCTCGCTCACACCAGGACGCTCTTCAAAGATGTTCACATAAATCGGGGCTTCCCAGGAAGCTGTCAGAACCTTTGTGCTTGCAGAGGGTCCTGGTGGCCCCTCAGCCAAGGGTCAGAGCAAAGGAGTGAGGCAGAAAGGCCAGCGTGGTGAAGAGACACGGCCAGCCTTTGTTGTCCACAGCCCCGGGGCAGGTGCTCCTCGGGGAGTGGCTGCCCGCCTGCTGAGGGAGGTTCACTGTCCCTTGGTGGTGACCTTGACAGTGTCCAGCAGCCCAGCCCACACAGGCTCAGCCTGCATAGAAATGGAGCCCACGAAGGCCTGACCTTGGGGAGCACCCACGCGGGCTCTGCACATGTATTCTGGGCAGTTCTGCTCTTGGCATTGAAGGGCTCAGCAGATCTCGGTCTGGAGGCTCCCCCTCCTCGGGCCAGCTCCACGGGCCTTCAGCTTTCTGCTTCAAGGTCAAGGAATTGGCTGGCCTGCAGAAGGAAGCCACGGCCCGCAGTCACCTCGACTGCCATGTCCGGGGAGGGGCTCATGGCCATGGGGAGGGGCTCTGCTCACAGGAGACGCACAGCCCCGTTGTCCCAGCCGGCTTGGAAGGTCACACCAGCTCTGCAGAGCAGCCCCTGCCTAGAGCAGTGCCCTTTGACCTCAAGGGATTCTATTGTTGGCTGCGTCCCCTGTGTATTCCATAGGTGCCAGAAATAGAATGTCAGAGCTTGAGGGCCGGTGGGAGCAGCTGGCAGCAAGCATCGAAGGCCACGGACGGCCAAAGCCCACAGGTAAAGAATCAGTGCACGACCACTGAGCCTGGAGGTGCCTGCCTGCTCCCAGGCCTCTCCTCCAGCCCTTTAACTAGGTTCTCCTCTGCCAGCCATTTCCACGTTCATGTCCAAACCACACAGAGCCTCCTGATCTCTGGCAAGGTGAACCATCCCTCCCACAAACTCCAGTAAATGCCCCCCAGATCCCTTGGCATTCCTCTCACTGCACCCTGCACCATCTCACTCGACAGACATGCTTAAAGCCATTGCCAGGGACCAGACGTGACAGGCCGCCACCCCCACCCCCAGCCTCCACTCCTCCCACCTCCAGCACTCCTCCCACTGTGAATCGGTGTTTCTGACCTTGCCCTTCATGCTGGGACCACCTGGCTGGCAGTGGGGACAGCCAACAGCCCAGGTGAAGACTGTGGCCACCGGCCCATCTGCTGGGCTCCACCACGGCAGATGCTGCACAGGGCAAAGCAGCCGCTGTGTGGAGCCCTATCCGATGGCAGCCCTGTGGTCAGGAGCAACGATTGGCTTCTAGCAAGCCTCCACCCCACCCTTGATTTTGCTTATCTCCTGCGTGCCAGCAACCTCTCTCTGAGGCCCAGGTCTCTGTCCTGAGCTTTCAGACCCTCTTGTGGAAGGCCAAGTCCCCCAAACCTAACAGTCTTTCATGGCCATTTCTTCCAAAACCTCCTGTCCCTAGCTCTCAGTCTCGGTGCTTGCCTCCCTCAACCCCTGGCCACTACAACCCCACCCCTATCCCCTGCCCGCAGCACAAGGCTGCCATATCACCATGACCCTCGTCACTGCCAACCCATCTTCTTACCAAAGCCAAATCTCAATCTCAATCTCTCTCTCACTGTAACTCTTTCAAATAAGTAAATAAATCTTTAGAGTAAGGAGGTGTTCAAAGTGCTTCAGAATCCAGAAAGGCACATACAGACACTTGGGGCCTTCCTTTTTCTGGCAGAAATATCCGAATGAGTCTATCCCAGGAGCTGGTGTTGATGCATGGCGGGTCAAGACCCTGCTGGGAACACCAGCACCGGCCTGTGAGCCAGAGGTGTGACTGGAGCCTCCCAGTTCTGCAGATAATCATAAAAAGGAAAATGTGAAGATGGTCCGTGCTGAGGGCGCTGAAGGAACCCTAGGAGCGACGAGAGTGATTCAACTACATGTGAACACTTCATCTACAAGGTTGGATAGACAGATGGATGGACAGATAAGGTAGTGGGTGGGTAGATAAATGGATAGGTGAGTTGTTGGTGGGTGGGTGGATGGACAGGTGGATAAATGGACAGACAAATGGATGGTCAGGTGGGTGGACAGACACATAGATGAATGGATGGACTGCAGTTTCCTTTACAGCAGTCCATGTTTCTCAAGGCCATTCCACATTCAATCAATGGTCTCTCCAAATACCCTTAGCATGCTCACCCAGCATCACAGGCAGGTGGGCACTGGAGCCCTAAGACCCTCACTCCAGACATGCAGCACAGACTCTCCACACTCCCCCTCTGCCTGTCACCATGGCATCAGCCACAGTTTAGACCAGTTTGATCCAGCAGGGCCTGAGGAGGTAGAAGGCCAAGAGACCTGGACTGTCTCTGAGGCCTGAGGAGGGCACTGCAGCAGTGGACAGCTACTAGGCAGGTTCATCTTGCCTGGCCCGAGGACTCTGGCTGTGGAACCTAGGTAGCCAGAGCCCGGCCACTCAGGCACAGCTTGAGCAACCCCCGGCAACGCATCCTTCCTGCTGACCAGCTGTTGCTGTAGTCTAGGTTGCAGTTCCACATCCCAACAGGATGTGCAGTCACACACAGTACAGCCCTGTTTTCCTCGAACAAGCTCTAGCCCCCAGACTCACACAGGACTTCAGCCCCCAAAGTCTTAAACACTGACACTCCTATGGGGGTGGGAACTCAGCCCAAGGACTGTGACTGGATGTGGGGGACTTCAGAAAATGACTTACGATTAGGTTGGGTCAATCTCTCTCTCACATACACACACACACACAGTAGACATAGTATGAATGGAGGAACCAACAAAGAAACAATATCTAGAAATAAACAGGAAAGGAAAGCCAGCCAGTCTTCCAATTGAGGGGCATAAGGTTAAGGTTGAGGATGATGCTGGTGGTACCAGTGATGTGATGATGGTGATAGTGGCGATGGTGATAGTGGTGATGGTGGCGATGACACACTGCCTCAGCACCCATTGTTGCCAGAAGGGCCTCAAATGGCCCAAGCAGAGGACCCCTCCTGACTCAGCTCCCTGGATGAGGTCCTATCATACATCCCTCTGGTTGAGGGGGCTGTGCACTAGGACCCCTTACCTGAGTAGCAGGCTTCAGTCCTGCCTCTCACAGAATTACTCAAGTAGGTGACCATGGGCTTGCTCGGGCTTCACCATCCTCTTCTCACTGCACAGCTTGCTGGCCACTCCACTCCCAAGTGCAACCACCACTGGCACCCCTGCCAGAGCTTCCCTCTTCAGGACCTGCCCAGAGTGGCTCCTAACACTCAGCAACCTGCAGGCCTTGACGGCCAGCGCGGTGGGAAGCACAAGGAGCTGCTACTTCGCTTACAAGGTGACCCATGCACCCCTCCCGGCTGGCTGTCACCACTGCCCCACGCATGGATTCATCAACACGCGCCCACAGCTGCATCGCAAGGTCTCTTGCGTTTCCTCACTGGCCCCCCAGGTGGCCCTCTTCCGCCTGGTCAAGGGCTTGCCCGGTCTTGGTCACTGTCCAGGGTTAACCCAGCATCTGAATATCAAAGGGTCAACCATGGGAGATGAACTGAGCTGGCACCAGAAGGACCATGAAGCACAACTTCCGCTCCGACTCCGGGCACACAGATAAGGTTTCAGGCAGGTCCCCGCTCCTTATCACAGCGCAGGCACTGTCCCTGCTCAGCCCGAGCTGCGGGTTGCAGTGCTGCTGGCTTACAGGGCCATGAGGATGAGGGGCCCCCGGCCCCTGGGAGGAACCCCGACCCCTGGACTCACCCCGATGTGACCACAGAGTCTGCCTTCCGCAGCCTGTCACCCTGCCTCCGATGGTCAGCTTCCTCCCCCATGACCCTATAGGGTGTGCAGTGGCCCTCGCTTGTCTAGTGGAAATGTGGTGTCCCCAGAAGCTTAGAATGAACTCCCGCACCCGACGATGGTAAGAAGAGACCATTGGAACAGGCCATCCCACCTCTTCCTACAGCCCTAATTCTTCTCTTTGTGTAGCCTCCTCCAGGAAGCCTTCCTAGGCTGCTCCACATCTTGGTAGGGCCAGTGTCTCTGTGGAAAACCTTCCAAACCCTTCCCCACACATACAATCATGGTCATCCCATGCCACCCTCTGGCTGGGACCCTGGGCATCCTAATCACTACATCCATCTTTCCCATTTTCTGGAGACTTCTGGCATTCCTGCCTGCCCCATGCATCCTGGTGAGTAACTCCCTTGAATTTCTGGAAGAAGAGATGAACTTAAGTGAGTCTGACATAGTCAAGGTATTTTATAACATCCAAGATGGAGACATGAAAGGGACTCCACACCACGGATGCTTATGTGTGGCTGGCTTAGAAGGTGTAACTGTGATGCAGAAAAAAAAAAATGCATGGAGCTAAAAGACTCTTTGCCAGTGTACAGACAGTGGCATGGGATGAGGTTGGGCCCCCGAGTCCACTAAGCTGGGGTTGGGCTGACCCAAAGAGGCCGCTCATCCCCACTGGGTTCCCTCTTACCTGGAAGTAGTCCAGCAGCACGCCTGCCCAGGACAGCCCCACACCTGCACACAGGAAGGGTACTGCCACCTGCAGGCCGATGGTCCACGCAGTCTCTCTGCTAGGCTCAGGGTCTGGTGGTTTGGGGGCTATGTGCCGGACCTCAGGGGCCCCCTGAAGTCCATCTTCTGCATCTGTGCCTGACAGCCCCTGCACCTCTGGTCCACTGCAGCCCTCAAGCCTCCGGAGTCGGGGCTCCGTCCCCTCCATGTGCTCCCAGCTGATTCCCTGGTAGTCCCCGCCTGTGAGACACAGAGCAACAGAGGTTGAAGGGAAAATTTTCTGACTGCCCTGGGCCAGCCCCAGCCCCCACCTGGCAATCCTGCAGTCCCCATTCATGTCAGTTTGTCACTCTGAGGGCACGGGGGACAGGGGGCGGGTAGGGATAAAGCAGTCTCTAGAGAAAGCTCCCAGGCGACCTTGGCAGTGGGGCAGGCTGGGGCTGCTGAAAATCCCCTCTTCCCCAGAGTCACAGGAAAACCAGCCAAGCTCTCGGAATCGAGTATTTCACAACTCCAGAAAGTAACCGAGAGCTTGCAGCAACCAGGGAGTCGCTCTCCTAACATGCTGAACCTCAGCAACAGTGACCTTGGCCTGGGCCATTTGCAACTTCCCTCTGTGGGACTCTCCATACTTCACCCAGCTTGGAGTCCATGGCTCCAAAAGGCCTTCAATTTGGGGGACACTAACTGAGAAGAATCGACAAGCTTCCTAGCTGCCTGTGCAAACCCCAGCCATATGAAAACCGCTTTGTACTGACAGTAGTCCTGGAGCAGAAGTCCTTGCCCTCGTACAGGGCAGTGCTGCCCGCTTTTTCACTCAGCACAGGCTAAGGATGGTTTGTCAAGTGCTTCCCTGAAAGCCAAAGGAACAAAGGTAACCCCAATCTGGAGATCCCCAACCCCAGGAGACTGGGAGGCCTTGGGGTCCCCAGCAATCAATAAGCCATCATGAGCCAGTCATGGAGCAGGGCCTTCAGTGGCCACATACAGCAAGGGTTGGTGTGTGATGACTAGTCAGTCACCACGTGCGCTAGGAATTCCATCTATGGCCAAAGTTACCGCTGGGTCGTCTACAATGTCCAGTGTCTGTCCACAGACATGGGACATGCAAGGAGACAAGAAAGTATGACTCCCACATACGACAGAAGTGACGGCGGACAGTGTCCCCAAGGAAGTCCGCACATTTGGTCAGCCGGCCGGAACTGCTAAATGCATTCAGAGAACTCAAAGAACCACCCAACACAGACAACCAAAAAATAGCTGCTCAACTATAGAATGTCAATACGAAGATAAACATGATCTCAAAGAGTAATCAATAGAACTGCTATAAAGTACAACCAGAACACAGGGTTCCTGAAAGGAGCTAGCAGCTGATCTGCCTAGGGAAGACAGAACTATTTACATTTCAGGAAAAAAAAAACGTAAGAAGGAAGGAGTCTGAAGGTTTCACTACAAGGAAACAAACATGTTGGAGCAGATGAGATGAAAGTCCATGGCACATTTATGTATCGAAACATTCCACCGGCACCTCACAGACACGCATCTCCGTGTGCCAATCAAACATAAATACTAAGAAGAAAAGAACCACGGAATTGGAAGATAAGAGATTGGCAATCAGTAACAGGGCCTCAGCCAAAATACTCACGCAGGGAAAGACACACGCTCATGTGCTCAAGGGGAACAGAAGAGGGGCCATGACTAATACAAACCTCACAAAATAACAACTGCAAGGGAATTCTGTGAATAACTCTATGTCCTCGGGTTACAGAACCCAGGTAAGAACACACAGATTGTTCTAGAAAAGCACGCAATAACAAAATGGACTCAAGAAGGAATTAAAATATCAGCAGACCTAGAAGCAAGACTGGAATAGCACTCAAAACACAAAGAAAAAGCCGAGGCCAGATCTCACTGAGCGAAGTCTCCCAATTCTTCACAAGCTTGCCAAACCCAAAATCAAGTTTACAAGATGAAGCCACAAGTCCCAACTTCTTACAGGTGACCCACAGTACCCCGACGGCCAACTCTGATGGGGACGACAGAGGAAAGAAACCCTCAACAGGTACTTCTATCCAGAAGCCCGTGGTGTTTAAACCAAGTGGGATTCACCCACAGAACTGAATGGGTGGACAAAACCAGTGTAACATCAATCAATGACACACATCAGAGGAACCACTTAATGAAGGAATGCATGATATGCCCAAGAAAAAAAGCAGCATGTGACAAAACGTAACACTCTGTCAGCGTCAAAACATTCACCAAGCAGGAATAGAAGGGGTTTATTTGCAGCCAGATAAAGACGATCTACAGCAGAGCCCCAGCTCCTATACTTTGTGGTGAGAGGCTGAGAAGTTTCCACTAAGGTTGGAACAAGACCAGGAGGACTGCTTTTCCTTTTCCCGCTCAACACCGAACTTGAGGTTCTAACCAGTGAGGCAAGGGGCAAAAACATTGCCAGCTTAAAAAGAACAACTAGCTCTATCTGCAGATGACACGTTCCATAGAGAAATTTCCAACGAATCCAGGCACACCAAATAACTATCAGCACGAATAAACAAGTTAGTTCAGCAAGGTGCCATGCAAGATCAATTCACAATAGGAATAAAGACCAATTCACAATATGTCCATGTGACCAATTAAAAAAGGAATAAGAAAAAAAATGCATCTGCAATAGCATCTGTAAAAATTCATCAGAACAAAATGCAAAGTATACCCTGAAAACTATAAACTATTATCCTGGGGCCCGGCATAGTACCCTAGAGCCTAAGTCCTCTCCTTGTACGCACTAAGTTCCCATAAGGGCGCTGGTTCGTATCCTGGTTGCTCCACTTCCCATCCAGCTCCCTGCTCGTGGCCTGGGAAAGCAGTCAAGGACGGCCCAAAGGCTTGGGACCCTGCACCCGCGAGGGAGACCTGGAAGAGGCTCCTGGCTTCGGACTGACTCAGCTCTGGCTGTTGGAGCCACTTGGGGAGTGAACCACAAGACAGAAGAGCTTTCTCTCGGTCTCTGCTTCTCTCTGTAAATCTGATTTTCTTTGAAAAAACAAAACAAAACCTATTACCCTACACAATTTCTAAAACCTAAAAAAAAGAAAAATGGAAAGGTGCATCCATAGATCAGATATTTATGTATCTGGGATGGAAGGCTTGGAAATGTCAGCATGACAATCCTCTCCAAGGGGTTACAGACTCATACAATCCTATCAAAATTCTGGGGAAAAATTTTTTTACATAAAATAATAAGCTGATCTTAAAACTCATATGGAAATAGAAAAGAACAGAATCCTAAACAATCTTGAAAAAGTAAACCTGAAAAACACACATTTCCTGTTTTAAAAACTTATTACAAAGCTATAAGAATCAAGGCAGTGTGTGGAACTGACCAAGAATACAAACATATGAAGTCTCCAGAGCATTTGTGGAAATGTTTATTATAAAAAAACTAGGGGTTAAACATTTGGCATCGTGGCTAAAACTCCACCTGGAACCCTGGTGGCCCGTATCTGAATGGCCGGGTTTGAGTCCTGGCTCTGCTGACGGACACCCTGGCGGGGACCAGGTGGTGGTGGGGTCCCTAGAATCTGTGTGGGAGCTCTGAATCGACTTCCTGGTTCTCCCAGGGCTTTGGGGGGAATGAGACAGTGGGTGAGCTGTGTTTCAGTCTGTCTCCCTCTTAAACAAACAGGACCCAGAACTGTTTGCCAAGAGCCCAGCAATCAGAGAGAAAAGTCACAAAGTCCCACTGCCTCACTGCCACATGGCCGGAAGCTCTCACGGCCTCGTTAACTGTACTGAGATTCAGGTGCAGCACAAGTTTCCATATATAGCATGAAACCAGGCCAGGGGCAGGTGTGGCCCGCTATGCTGCACGGAAGGAACCTCTCACTGCCAGGGCAGACTCAAGAAAACCAAAGGGAAGCAATTCCGTCAGGAATGCACTGAGCAGGCTTCCGGCTTAGAGCCTGTGACCGCGCAGGCGCAGGCTGCAGGCTGCAGGTCCAAGACCACAAACTTTGGCTACACCAGGGCTGGTCCCTAGCCAAGACACAAGCCATGGAAACCCACCCTCCATCCTAAGCTACTTTTTTTTCTTTCGGGTCCAGTGAGACTCTGGAATCCTTCAAAGATGAAAAAAGAAAAAAAAAAGTCTGTGGGAAGGATTAAGAGTTATAATAAATATGGTTGCACCTGAAATCTGAGAGGGGCTGGTTCTAAGACACACGCACACACACAAACCCACAACCTAACACGGAATTCTTAAGATTTACTTATTTTTATTGGAAAGTCAAATATACAGAGAGGAGGAGAGACAGAGAGGAAGATCTTTCATCTGTTGATTCATTCCCCAAGCAGCTGCAATGGCTGGAGCTGAGCCAATCCGAAGCCAGGAGCATCTTACGGATCTCCCTCATGGGTGCAGGGTTCCAAGGATTTGGGCCATCCTTGATTGCTTTCCCAGGCCTCAAGCAAGGAGTTGGATGGGAAGCCGGGCTGCTGAGATTAGAACCAGTGCCCATATGGAATCCTGGTGTGTACAAAGCAAGGATTTTAGCTGCTAGACTACCATGCTGGGCCCCTAACACCAAATTTTAAGCATGCTCAAGTCCCTTACAAAAAATGGCATAGGGTCCGGAAGTCTTGGGACCCTGCACCCATATGGAAGACCTGGAAGAGGTTCCTGGCTCCTGAATTCGGACCAGCGCAGCACTGGCCGTTGCACTCACTTGGGGAGTGAATCATCGGACAGAAGATCTTCCTCTCAGTCTCTCCCTCCTCTCTGTATATCTGACTTTTCAACAACAACAAAAGAAATCTTTTTAAAAAATTAAAATGTCATAGAATTTGCATATACCTGTGCACTCTCCTCCTGCAAACAGAACGTTTTCTCTAGAGAGTTTACAAGATTTAACGGAAGTTCTGTTAGAAAAAGTTCGCACGAGTTCAGATTCAGGACCATATCCTGGAGGAGCTTCCAACGCACACGTGGACACCCCTGGGAGGAGGGCCGAGTGGATCTGCCATCCTCCTGGGGGATCTGATTCTGCCT